CACCAGTTTACTTTGGCTTCTCAATTCATATCGCCAAAACAAGTGGCTCTACCTTCCTGCAGATTAACGTGGACTCTCAAAACCACTGCATTGTAGAGGAACATGGTCTTCCACAGGCAATTCTCAGGGTTCATGAATTCGTCGGCAGGGGGAAGAGCTATGGCCTCCAACCTAATAGCGATAGCCTCCAACCCAAGAGCGATGGCTTCCAACCTAAGAGCGACGGCCTCCAACCTAAGAGCGACAGCCTACCTACGTTGGGTTCTCTTTCAGGACTTTGGGTCGAACCTTTTCAAGCCCTTCAGCCCAGCTACGATGGCAGCGGTCGCGATCCTCGGCAGGAGCCCCCAGGAGTCGAGTTCTCGTCCCGTAGCGTTCGGACGCTATGCTCGGTGGAGGCCATCGCAAGTAGGTTGGCCACTAACAAGAAGCTAGGAACAAAGGGCATCGCTACTAGTAGCAGGGAAGCGACCAGTAGCTTTTGGGTCTCATGATATGCAAAGAACTGGCATCAATCTCTTACTAATTAAGTTCAATGCATTCCATATATCAAATGTCAATGACCAAAAGTAAGAGGCCATGTCTCGAAGATGTTGGTCCTTTTGGAGCCTCACCAAGCAAGTTCACGCCCAGGTCACTACAATTCATACAATGACAAGTTACTAGTAACAAGTGAATTAGCTACTACTACTAATTATTACTACTACTACTACTGCTAGTGACTTGTTAATAGTAGTCATGTTACTAGTAGCGATGCACTTGCTACTACTAGCTATGTTCCGTAAACCATGTTTTAGGCTCCTTCACCCACCGGGTCAAGGGGACAATGAAAAGACAGGACCACCGAAGAGATGAGACACTTCTTCAGCAAGTGGGTCAGCTCATTCACATCCGCAAAGAAGGCTTTGGCCTGCAGACGGCTTAGGCCAGGTGACATTAGGTTGCGTGTCCAACACCTTGCAGCCCAACACCTGCACCAACCCTGAAAACCAGCGAGCTACGGGAAGGCGTATCGCTTCCTGTATACACCACACTGCCACTGGTTGGCCTGCGATCCTGAAACCAAGTCCCAACCTGGACATCGAAACCAACACCAACAAAGTTCAAAAAAAACTTGATAAACATTGTCATACTATACGACCTCTCGGTCTGGTGTGGTTTTAAAGACCATACTATACATCATAAGGGGCATGGCTGTACAGTGATACTGTATGAACCTTGGAGCAGTTGCCCTTTATTGAGGTAAAATAAGGTAAGGGGAGTTGATGCAGAACAAACGGGTCAACAAGATAACTCAACATTTCGGTTGTTGGGTTCTATTTGCCCAATGCCAAGCACTTGCATGCTGCATTCTACAAAAAACAACAATTCTACAATAATGTTTAAAAACAAAGTCCTCCACCATTTTCTCTCAAAGGGGAAAGCAATTGAATCTTACAATATGTCTTTTGCGGGGCTTGGTCCATGCAGAATCCATCAGCTGGAACAATATCTTTTGTTGGAAGCGGCAAGCTTGCTTTGATCATGATCACGCTGTTCCTGTTGCAAAAAAATGTTAATGCTCCAACACGATGTCGATGAGTGAGTCTACGAACGTATAGCCTATAGCTGTGTACCTTCCTCAATCCGCAAGAGCATCCATTACTCCATCAGTAAACGACTTGGCGGGCAGGTGTGGGCATCCCAAGAGGATGCCAGGACAGCCACGACTCAGGTCCAGCAAGACAGCCTGTTCTGGATGAGGGAGGTCTACGAGAGAGTCTGGACCCCGTTCAAACCCAAGAAGGGAGGGGCATCCAGCGCCAAAAGGGGGAGGGAAATGGAAGTCAACACCCTCCTTGACCCATCCAGCAACAGTGGAAACAACAGCCCAAGGGCAAGGGCAAGGGGGGACCAAACTGGCCGGCATCCTGGGCACAACAGCCCTCAGGGTCTGCCATACTGCAGGGACTTTCACCAGAAGAAGTCATGTGCAGGGAACGGTGCACCTTTCCAAAACTGCTCAGTGATGAAGGACGGCTGGATTTGGAACGCAGCACCTTCGCTCTTCCTCCGCTCTTCCTCCGCTCTTCCTCCTTCCTCCCTCTCGAGACAGCCATCGGAGTGATGCTTCATCCGTCGAAAAGCGGTCGAAAAGCGGACACTTGTTCGAATGGACGGCCCATGGCCAGTTCTCTTTTTGCATTCGTCGACTGCGAATGATTAGTGTGCCGCACTATTCCATCTTGCTTGGAATCAAAGGCCAGCTCCAAAAGCTCAGAACACGCCCATGTCAATCCAAACCAAAGGGCTAAAATAGTAACAGCTGAGTAGTGTAGGAATCATGTTCCCAAACCTCAAGACCTATACTACCACCGGACCTATACTACCAGACCTCAAACGCTCTCACTTCTCTCTCTCTCTCTTTTCCATGCACTCTGTGGCTAAAGACTCCCACGGGTCGCCCGTTTGGAGACCCCGTTTGGAGGGTCAACCACCAATAAGCCCTATATACAGTAAGGCTCCAACCACCTCCTGGCAAGGTGGTTGGGGTGGGTTTGGGGGGGTCTAACCACCTTCTCAGGAGGTGGTTGGAGCCCTACGGAAGACACCGCTCCGGCGCTTGAAGCTTCGGAAAACATCACACACACCCAGTGGCTCGAAAACACCGCTGGCACCTGGGTGGGTTTGCGGCCCATGGTCGCGGTGAAGACCTGCGTCGCGGGAATCACCTGGGCCCAGGAAGCAAGGGAAGCTCTGGGCGCCAGGTCCAGGCGCACAAAAGCGGAGGGGTCCGGTGAGGGTCCGGGCCGTGCCAAACACTGGAATCAGACTCAGACTGGCCAGATGCGGCCACAGAGTTCATTTCGACGTCCCCACCCCAGAAGTTCCACTGGTAAATGCGCATGTCCTCGCTATAGAAGGTTCTTATAGAAGTTTGTCTAAGACGCCCTATGTTGCACTACCAAAGGAAAGGAAACTTCCTTTTCTGGTCACGACATGTCACGCCGATTGTTTAGGCCGGTCGCCGGCCTTCGGGTCACTGTGCCCCGTCCGCGTCCGAAAGGGGGTCGACCGTGCGTCCGGTGGGGAGGTCTGTACGTTCCATCCCACCAAGCCGCTTGAGTTGTGGGACCAAATGTTCACAGATATGGACAGCTGTTCGAGCTCCGGGGTGTCACTGAGTTTGAACATATTCTGAGTTAGAGAAGTAACAATAAGTCTTCATACCTAAATCATGTCACGGCAACATCAAAAAACTCTCAACGCAGTTGCGCTCTCTCTCTCTCTATATATATATATATAACCAAGGGCATCCAATGATACAGAAATTTCTGTATCGAAAAGTTTCTGCTCGAGATGCCCTGTGATATAGCCATGAACTCAAAAGCGCTCGTTTCCTGAAAAAAACCCTCGAGACATACAGCTGCTACCCTTTCACCCCATTCCCATCATCCCCACAGCACCAGCGACTCATGCACTGGCGGCAATTGGTGGCCTTCAAGGAGCCAGGCCCTCAGGACCGGTCGTTCAGTGGCCAATCTTGTGTTTGAAGTATCTTTGGTACTTAAGAAGGGATCTTGAGATCACCCTGTAGGCAACAAGGTTGCCAGCACTCACACGCCGCGCCACGCGGCATACGCGCCCGATGTAGTCTTCGTCACTCCAGCAGGAGTGGCCTCTGGAAGGAAATGTAAGGTCAGGTCACCTACTTCAGGGACTATCTTGAGAGGTTGGATTGGGAGATTGGGACCCTAAATCCAAAAAGGAGTTGGTTGCCAATTAAAGTTGAGACGCAGTGTGGGTTGAGAACATGCTGTGCTCCAGCTGCAAGTTGGAACTCCATAGATTTCCTCACTCTGTGCTTGCAGCTAGTGACTAGTGTGAAAACTATATCTGTAAAAATAAGTTTAACTAGTACATACATACCAAAAAAGGATTGAGCCGAGATTCGCCACATGTGGATACATGTGCAGCTTGGGTCTCAACCGGAAGAGGGCCCATTTCAAATCAGCGCTCATTCGAGCTAGACACCCATAGCCCTCCTTGTATTGTTTCAGCAGGGCACCAATCTATTTCAAGGGCTGTAGGGACAAGATGGCTCTCTATAGGCTATAGCAGGAAAAGGATCGAGTTTATACATACCAAGGTTCAGCTGAATCATAGGCGTGCTGCACAATGATTCGGGCTGTGGCAGCAGAGATCCAAATGCCCTCCTTGTGGATCATGCTGAAGAACTGGTTGGTGTGCCGAAAGGTCCATTGCAGCACTTGCAGGTAGTCTTGATGCACTGGATCCTGATATGATAGAAATCCATAGAAATCAGAAAAAGGGCATTCCTCAAGAAAACTCTTTGGCCCCCATGCAACCCAAAAATACCAATTTTGCTCAAGCACAACATCCCGAGGTCCCAGAAGATCCAGTTCTGACTGCAACCACTTGCACAGCAGCGCGGTGTCGTGCGCTCGCCCAGTGCCTTTTGGGAAGCTGCTTGCCAACCTGGGATGGGCAGGAAGTAGACAGTTAATCCCACACAATGTTGGAAAATTACAAATAAAAGGCCAATAATCTAGATCTAGTAACGATTGCACTTTGAAGGTCTTCAGCTCAAAATCCTTGATGCGTGGACAATGACCATGTTTTGAGCACCAAGCATCAAAACAGAGATATGCCTCATCCATCCTTTTGGGAAGGGATCGAACAGAATGATGTCCGAAGAGCTTCATGTGGCAAAGGGCTATCAAACAGCTGGCTGCCATGTCCCCACCGATCCCAATATTGAACACATGCATGAGGTCCGGCTTCACCATATCAGGCCCTCCCCCTCCAGGTATTGAACGAAGTGGGCTAGGAGTTCCAGATCTCTTGAATGGGCATGGGTTGGTGTATCCAGGCCGCAAAGATCGAAGCTGCCCATTTGCTGTGACATCCCACCAATCCTGCAGCTTTCGGTGATTGGGACATGTTGGGGTCCTAGCTGATATGTTTATAGATATTTAGCTTCTTGAAACCCAAACCCCTCAAAACTTGTCACTATAGATCAAAGGGTCAGATACATCACATAAATGGCAAATCCTTTTCGAGGTGAAGCCACTGTATAGTGCATAGGCCTTTCTAAGCCAAGGCCAGTCGCCTTTGCAGGCAACATATGCTGCATAAAAGCGCTGCTGTTTGCCACAAACCTTCAAAGTTGACAGGTCAGTCAACTTCCCAAAACTTTGGTCTTTGATGTTCAAGCCTTTCCCTGTCACCACCCAGCCTCCACAGTGATCCCAACATCCAGCAACTGGGTCAAATCGTGAGCCAAGGCCTGCAGAATGGCATTGATGCTGGCGTCCTTCTTGGCGTACCAGTTTGAAGGCAACAGGGTCGTCAAGAGCCGTGTGGTGTAGGAATGCCTAGGTGCAATCAAGGCATGCCTGGCACACCCTTGACAACACATACTCTTTTTCAGGTTGAAGTCCACAGTCCAAACAAAAAATAGCTGAAAGCAAATATGAAGTTACTTCGATGAGTTAAGCTTGTTTTCACCTGAGTAAGGGATCATGACCTGATAGGCAAGTACAAGTACTGGTACCTTTGCAAGGCCTCGGCCTTCATCACCATGGATCGCTATGGGTATGGTGGAGCTTCGCTGCTCCACAGACTTCTGGTAAACTGGATGGTCAGGGTGACCTGGTCTGAAACGCTCCCAAAAGCGGCTGAACATTGCCCTGTAGTCATCCACCATCAGACTCTGGGCAATGTCCACCCAAAAAGAACTTGGGATAGGATGAAAGGATTGCTTGCATCCACCGCGATAGTAGAATGATAGGATGCTTAACTGTGATCTCTCGTCGACGTCGTTTGCCCTGAGTAGTTCGGATCTTCCTGCGGATTGGAATCTCAAATTCAGAGACTGCCACCCCAAACGCTTTCCCATCTCGATGGATGTACCGATGAAAATCCCTGGCAGCATTCTTGCCAGCTCGACCAGTCTTGGATCGCGAGTATCGAGCCAGCTTGTCGATTGCATGATCATAAACACCTGGGCTAGGACTGGTTGGGTTGATTTGTATATCTAGCTGGTTGTATTCCACCGACAAACATTAAAATAAAAATTGCTCTTGAAGTCAAAGTCCAGGGTCCCATTTTCTTCATCTTTCCAGATGCCACACGAGCTAGCCGGAGCACCCCACGGGCAGAAGCAACCTCAATTGATTGGGGAAGAACCTGGGGCCATAAACATCTTACCTAAGTGGGGCCAACAGCTGGTCCAAGTAACCCCATCCTCGGCATCCCGCAGAAAAGCATCGGCCAAGTCATCGTCATTGGTTGAGCTTGATGACGAACTAGTTGAAGGTCCTGTTCCATGAATTCAAGGGGGACGGAAAAAAGGTAGTCCTGGTCTTTTCACTTGTCTGGACAAGGTTAGAGTCCATGATATACATTTTTGCTTCATTAGGATTCATATCATCAAAGCATCCAGCACCCCTCCAGGCCTGGACTGCGAAGGAGCTCATCAAGGCCCGCGTTGGGGCGACATCAATATGAATTGGCTCAGCACTGTACCTGTGCTGGATACCACACTTCTATAACACTCACGGCAAAATGATTTTCCCCATGGATGGCATCGAATGATATCAAATGCAATCACTTCAAAGATCGTGGGCCATGCGTTTCAGCAACTGCCCTCCCCAAAGCAGACACAGTGTTCGTGTGAAGTCACACGGGTGTCTAAATCTATATCTAGTGCAATGCAGTTGACCCTTCAAGAAACAAACACATTTCTGCAGAATTGCATTTTTTAAATGTAAAACATCACCAGGTGGTCACCTGCTCAACCTCACGCATCACAAAATCGCTACTTGTTCTTTTTGGCCTTCTTGGAACTCTTACTGTCACCTGGTACCTCATCCTGGCCATCGGTATCAGCTTTCTTGGTTTTCTTTTTTTTCTCTGTTCCATCTTTCTTTTCCTTCTTCTTATCCTTTGTTTTCGATGCACGGCCAGATCCGGGCTTGGTCGCAGCACTGGTGGCAGGAGCTTTGACATTCCTGAGCATTAGGTTGGGACCCAAGCAAGAGGGCGGACAGGATGTCAAACTGGATGTCTTGCATCGTGAAGAAAGCTGGCTAGTCAAATAGTATCATGTTGGAGGGAGATGGAGGGAGTTCTGTCAATGAAAGCTGTCAGGAGTCTTGCTCCTGCTGATGTAGTTGTTCAGGGTGACATCCTCCTTGGTGATGTCAGCAAACAGGTCCATCACATCCTTCTTCTTCTGCTCAAGAGACCTTGTGCAGGAAAACGATTTCTATATGTCAGGCCTTAGGAACACTGGATGATTACCACATGCTCTGGGTTCCCTGACGATGAATTGGTGGCATCCATTGAAAGGTACTCCGCTTGCTTCTGGCTAAGCTTGTCATATTTTTCATTCATAGACTTGAGGAGCCGTTCGATCTCTTTTGCCATCCTTAATTATGTATGGGCTGACTATGCATACGGATAGAACTGCGCACAGAACCTACGTACACGTGCAAGAAAGAGTCGAAAGAGCTCGTGGGTTCTTTGTTGTTTGAAGTCGTTCCTGAAACATGTACCAGCTGGATCTTAAGGATCTCATGACAAGATCGATCATGTCCTGATGGGATATAGCTGAATCAATCTTCTTCCCCAGCACTTGGATGAATGTCGGGATGATGGCAAAAGGGGAATCATTCTTCTGGAGGGCTGGAAAGACATGCCTCAGGCCACATTGAAATAACCATTGAGCCCATGTTCAACAAAACTGTTCATGGTATATGTTGTCAACACATTGGCAAATGCTATCTTGACACTTGCAGTTGCCAGAGGCAGCAGCTGCTGCTGCCGCAGCCGCTTGCTCAGACTTGGGGTCCGAGGCCCCAGTGGCTTCAGGGCCAGCACCCTCAGAGAGTTCCATCCCCTCAGGAGCACTCAGCAATGCACCATCAGCATCCTGGATTCGATAAGGGGATATTGCGGTTCAAGTTGGTTGAGAATATATATACACAAACTGCGTGGAAACAGGGTCCTCCAAATGACCTTCCCCCCTTCAGGTGTCTCATCTCACCACGCTCATCATCATGCTGGAAACCATCCTCTAAGACTAGTCGTGCCTCTTCTTCTCCATGGACAGGGTTATCCCGTGTGAGTCCACGGGCCTTTGCCCATGAGAAAGATTTCTCAATCATGCTCCTAGCAGAAATCATAAATATCAGTGGAAAATAAATATGATGCAAAGGATTGATCAACCCTAAGCTGTCCTTGTGTACTTCTCCACATCAGCAAGATAACTCCTGGTTACCCATCGCCCCTTTTGGCCTGATCTATTGATAGTCTTGCGCCACCTCGTGAGTTCCAATTCGACCGTCTTGAAGTCGCCGTGCTTTTCCAAAAGCTCCCGGAGCTTTGTACCTGAGATCGGGGAGGAATAATATTTACAATTACACACACCGTCCCATGGAAGCTCAACGATTTACAATAAACCAGGTGCGACCCTCCTCTGACTGATAGAGTTGGAGAACCTCCTTCGATGCTGTGACAGTCTTCCTGTATTTGGGGTCGCAGTAGCGTCTCATCCTAGGAATTGCACAGATAGCCGACATCGATCTCGAAAAAACAACATGGTTGCAACAAGCATTTGCACCAAACTGCCAGCTAGAGTCTTGTGATAGTACTTGTCAAACTTATTTGCAGAAGAAGTGGATGCTGCTGTTGACGGAGCTCGGGATGGAGAGTAGCATGAGAAGCTGGGTTCATGAATTTCCTCATCTGCAGCTACACCCTTTGTTTTTTTCCCAGGACCTGAAGCCTCAGGGGATACAAGTTCTGGTTCCAAACTTTTGGGGG